GTTTCAACGTCTTGGTTCCATTGATACTCATGATTCTACATTGACTTCTGAAATTCGATTTCAGAAACGTCTTGTCAAATGGGTAAAAAGTGGTGTTCTTTCTTCTAAAATGGCGGAGGAATTGAGACCGTCTGGTTCTATTCGTCCCCGTCTATATGGATTACCTAAGATTCATAAGGAGGGTGTCCCGTTGAGACCCATATTATCGATGATTGGGTCTTCACAGCATAAAGTTGCAAAGTGGCTTGCTATAATGTTGCAACCAGTATTGCAACATTACAGTTCCTTTTGTATTAAAGATTCATTTTCTTTTTCCAAATTCATTCGGAATTGTGATGCCACTAATGGATTTATGTGTTCCTTTGACATCTGTAGCCTCTTCACTTGTGTTCCATTATCGGAGACTATTGATATTTGCAGCGATATGTTATATCGTAGCGATTTGACTCCTCCGAATATACCCGAAGAAGTGTTCGTTGAACTCATGAAATTTGCCACCATGTTTGTCGATTTTAGTTTCGACAATATCATGTATCGTCAGATTGATGGGGTAGCGATGGGTTCCCCTTTGGGTCCTGTGTTGGCAAATATTTTTGTGGGGTTTTATGAAGAAAGCTTTTTAAGTTCTGCCCGACCCAAGGTATACTTTCGGTATGTTGATGACACTTTCTGTGTGTTCAGCCAAGAATCGGAAGTGGATCAATTTTTTTCCCTACTCAATGGTGTTCATCCTGCCCTTAAATTTACAGTAGATAAGGAGGTCAATGGTTCATTGCCCTTTTTAGATGTTCTTGTTCAAAGAACTCCTTCCTTGTTTATTACCTCTGTGTACAGGAAGTCTACTTTTACAGGACTATATACCCGTTGGGACTGCTTTTGTCCTAAACAACAAAAGATTAATTTGATTAGGACCCTGACACATAGGGCGTTAATGATCTGTTCTGATGACACCTTGAAACATGAAATCAGTTGTTTAACTGAGATCTTTGTGAACAATGGCTATCCGTTGAACATTGTTCAATCGGTTATTCGAGATGAGACCGCCAGGTTCAACAAAATCAAACCTGCTTCAGTAAGTAAATGTCCGGTCTATCTTCGTTTACCGTGGTTGGGTAAGATTAGTGAATCCTTCGCCAAGCGTATTTCATGTAGTTCACGTGAGTGTTATTTTGCAGCGAACGTTCGTGTTGTCTTTCAAACTAAGTCCATACTTCCATCTATGTGTAAAGATGTTCTACCCCCCCACCATATTAACTCTGTTATTTACTATTTCAAATGTAGTTGTGGATGCGACTACATAGGTAGAACGACACAGCGGTTGGACGTGAGAATTAAACAACACGTACCTGCGATAATACTAAACAAAAAATTTTCTTTGGGCGATACCATTCGTAACACATATGGGTCTTCCATTGCGGATCATTTTATAAAGAATCCAACTTGTGCGATGGATTTCAGTGTGAACTGGTTTTCCGTCTTGGCCAGTTCGCACTCACTTTTCCATCTTAAGGTGCTGGAGTCGCTTTACATCAGGTCTAGGCAGCCTGCACTTTGTAAACAAAGAGATTGTTTGCTTGGACTTGCTGTTCTGCGATTCTAGCAGCTTGTTTGGTATAATTTTAATATACATATATATATTTTTTCCTTCCCTGTCCATTCATTCATGTCACCCATGACAGACTTTTTCTTTTTCTTTTCCTCATAATCTAAATTCCCCGTTAACAGTTCTGACGAGAGGGGACGAAACCGGTCGACTGTGTGTGTTTTATTTTAAACTTATCATGGCCTACAATACTACATTTCTAGTTTTTAATGCCTTAATACGCTTTTGTACCGTTACAAACCTATTTAAATATATATATATATATATATATATATATATATATATATATATATATATATATATTTCATTCATTAAATAATATAGACAAGTGTTATCTATCTTATGTAAATTCTTTTCATATCGACTGATAAGCTTAATAACATTATCATTAAACGAAGAAAGAAAATCACAATATTGATATATATATTTTAATCCTAACAATTACATTACAATATATTGAGCAATACACGGGCAAGACATTGATGATAGTCTGTTTCTCTTTACATGGAAGATTTCAAGCAACGACAAACTTGTGCATGAAACATATATCAATGAAAAAATGTCTAAATACACACGTTTAAAATATATATATATATATATATATATATATATATATATATATATATATATATATTTGTATGTGTGCGTACGTCTGTGTGTGTGTGTAAATTAGCATTTAAATTATTTGATATTGGAATTGATTTATGAGTTAAATGTTTTGAATATCATGAGACCTTGCATGAAATTATAAAATTTCAATGATAATGTTATTAACCTTATCAGAGAATATGAAAGGAATACTTAAAATAAATAGACAAAACTTGTCTATATTATATAATGAAACATGCATCAATGAAAATTGCTGCCTAATATACACTATATATATATATATATATATATATATATATATATATATATATATATATATATATATATATATATATATATATATATATATATATATATATATATATATATATTCTGTGTGTATTCATGTAGACATGTCTACAATCACATAATTAGCTAACACTTGTTCAATGAAAACAAATAAATAATGACATCTCGTAATTGCAACTTTTGTTTAATCTTCGCAGCATTTATTTTCTAAATCGGTATATCTGTTAAGAATTCATGAAAAAATCAACTGTTAAATATATGCGTGGAACTTTTCTTGTTATATGAAATCGTTGATCATGAAATAAAATTCTTTTTACGGTATTCATTTTTTTTTTTTTTTTTTTAAACTGTAATTCTTGGAATAACTTTCTTTTCCAAAAAACAGGAACATGAAAAAACCGAAAGAGTTAGATCGAGCAATTACCTAAATTGTCTACTCGCTAATCTTGGAAGTAAATTTACAAAGAAAAACTTTCTAAATATATTGCAGTTCATTTTCAAATATTGAGAAAATTGATTGAAGACGAGACAGAAAATTGGTTAATTTCAACACAGTCAAGGCAAACGATTTTCTTTCTTTCTTTTTTTTCATTAAATTCCTGTTAGTTTTGTGAGTTTAACTCTACGGCTAATATTTCTTTACCATGTTTCATCAGTTATCCTTTCATACAAAAGTCAATTGTAATAAACTTGCATAACACAAACACACAACCCCACATTAAACAAAGTAGATGAAAAAGTATAGAAATCCCAATGAGGTGCTTTTCGTGATGCAACATTTTTTTTTCAAATATAAAATTGACCCAATCCTAGTAGGTTATTTATGAAGATTAGTGTTGTGGATTCCGGGTTGAAATCCAGTACCAATAAATAACAAACGCCAGGAATGAATATATGAAAAATAATGTATTAACGTAATAATACAAACTGGTAAAGCAGGTTAGTAGTTCCAGGAATACGGGTTAGTAGCAAAATATATATACAGTCTTTGGTATTGAAGTATCTCTGTATGACTTCTTACTGAGTCTACGTGCTCGCTCACTGTGACTCCTACAACGCTGTTACCTCACTCTCACTCTTCCGGTTACCTACAACCTTTTACTCTGTCACTCTGGACTCGACTCGACTCTGGTCTTCACGTATCTGTAGTATATGTATATACTGGGTGAGTCCATTTGTGTAAAAAGGGGTGGACCCCTCAACAATTAGAAAATGCAGGATTGTTCTCTTGTGGCCACCGGCATTAAAGAACATCAAATAATGGTTCAAACGTTTGAAACTTTGCAAGATTATTCTTTTACTATTTATTTTAAATTACCACAAAGTTTAGAACTACTAACGTCATCAAACGTGAGAGTTTACAAAAATAAATAAACCAAAAGATTGGAAGCTGTGGAGAGCCAAGATCGGACACTTCCTAAAAGGAGATGGCATATAGAAGACGAAGGTAAGAAGAAAAAGAAGCAGAAAAGATGAAAAAGAAAAAAAAAAGAAGAAAAACGATTATTTACCACAATAGCAGTAACGATTCATTTTCAATTATCAGACGTTGTTAATATAGTTTTGCTGTTATTACATCGTACTGGCTAGACTTGCGTGGCAATCAAACTAAGACAAAGAAAAATCTGAATTTAAAAGAGCAAAGAAAGTAGCCGAAAGGGAATCTGTGGATAGCTGCAAGAACCTACAACCCCAAAAAGTCATGGCATTAAAGAAATAACAAAAAGCGCAAATATATCGCTACTTAGATATCACATTTCATTCTTGCTCCATAATTTCAGTCTACACTATCTGATATTTAACTCCGAGCTAAAGGGAGAATAGACAGTTTCATGCCTTTCACAACGGCATTTGCATGAAAGTGAACATAGCAGCCTAAATTTGAACGGGGTTCTCCGAATGTTACCTATCCGTCCGGTATCCAAAACAAAACAAAAAAAAAACGACAAAGAATCTTTTCAAGTGGTAGTCATTCTAATTTCATGTTTACATATTAGTAAAATTAAAAGTATTTCGACTGTTTTTGGTGTTTTTTTTTATCTTGGATAATTTTGTTTTCCTTATGATGAGGGAATTCCTCATAGAAAAATCAAACCTATAAAATACGGAGAAACATATACACTAAAAGGCAAATTTGTTGGAATTAGTTGTGTCTAAAACTACGGTGATTAAAAAAAAACAGAAAAAAGAAATATATAATAACTACTCCCTGTGTTTGTCAGGAAGATTCAATACGAAATTTAACTTTATTTGACTTTACCTTATCTATATCAGTGTGTCAATAAGATGGCTAAATAGATAAATAGACAAAGATCTAAAAACATAGATAGATACAGTGAGTTGAAATAAGTATTTGGGCAGTAAAAAAATGGAATTAGAATCATATATTGAAAGAAAAGCATTGTCTAAAACTCACAATATATTCGTAAAACAATTATAAATGCAAATAAACAGCAAAAATGAATTATTTGACATGTATGTATATTTTAAAAACAAATTATTAAAACAGGTAGTGAAAAAAGTATTTGGACAGTTCCGAAATTATGTTTATAGATAGATAGTAACAGACTGAGATAGATAGATAGATAGATAGATAGATAGATAGATAGATATTAACAGACTGAGATAGATAGATAGTAACAGACTGCGATAGATAGATATATAGATAGATAGATAGATAGATAGATAGATAGATAGTAACAGACTGAGATAGATAGATAGATATATAGATAGTAACAGACTGAGATAGATAGATAGATAGATAGATAGATAGATAGTAACAGACTGAGATAGATAGATAGTAACAGACTGCGATAGATAGATAGATAGATAGATAGATAGATAGATGAGATAGATAGATAGGATGAGATAGATAGATAGATAGATAGATATTAATAGATGAGATAGATAGATAGATAGATTGAGACAGATAGATAGATAGATAGATAGATAGATAGATAGATAGATAGTAACAGGCTGAGATAGATAGATAGATAGATAGATAGTAACAGATTGAGATAGATAGATAGATAGATAGATAGATAGATAGATAGATATTAACAGACTGAGATAGATAGATAGATAGTAACAGATTGAGATAGATAGATAGATAGATAGATAGATAGATAGATAGATAGATAGATAGAAACAAAGAAAGAAAAAAAGAAAGAAAGAAACTTATGTTAATGAGATAGATAGATAGATAGATAGATAGATAGATAATAACAGACTGAGATCGATCGATCGATCGATAGATAGATAAATAGATAGATAGATAGATAGAAAGAAAGAAAGAAAGAAAGAACGAACGAACTGAAGCTATTCACTCATTTCTAGTCCATTGAGCCCTAAAATAATTTATGCAAGTTCCTTGGTATGGTTAACTTTTACCGGAACTAATGTGTCCTTTGACATATTTCCTACAAGTTAAAAAGAGAACTGCAACATACACCACCCTGGTACAGAGATGCCAGTCTCTGATTTAGCTAAGGAAAAAATCCAACCGTGGATAAGATTCTCTTCCAAAACAATGAGACGAAATGAGACAGAACTGACTTCACTATATATACATCCGGGGCTTTCTTATTTTAAGACATCAATCTTTCTTATATTTGTATCTGTATTACGCGATTTTCTGTCAAAATATCAACCTTTATTGAATCCGACCTGTTGGCTAACGTATATTCATCAGATTCGATTTTATTCATCTACATGATTTTATATATATATATATGTTTTTATATATATATATATATATATGTATATAGATTGAATATGGTCGCCGGTCAGTTATGTGACATACGTGATATTCGCTTCGGCGATCATGTATCTTTCGATACATGACTGACGAGGCCGGTTTTTTTTGTCCTAGGTTTCATTTATATATATATATATATATATATATATATATATATATATATATATATATATATATATACTAAAATAGATAGATCTTAAAAGATAAGATGGATAGATAGACAGATATATCTAAAAACATAGATAGATATGATATGATAGCACGGAGTTAGATTAACAGACAGGCGAAATATTATATTAAATGCTGATCGGAGTGGATCTTAACAAGTCAGTTCAAATGCTGTTGACCATCAGTTGGGTTTTAATACAGTCTCCATAAATCTGGTTTGAACAAAGGTGGCTTAGCTTAGTAAAGATCTGTTATATAAACAATAAACGCTGCATGGGAGAAATACTATGATATACGTAATCTGATGTCTAGCCTCACTTGATGAATTGCGAAACAGTTTGTCTGGGGATGACAATTCCGGATTTGTACGGTGGAGTAATGGATAGCGGCTTGAATTGTGGAATCGGAGAGTCGAGTTCAAATTCCAGTCGAATCCGTTACATTCACTTACGTCCTAATACTATTGGGGGAAGGTATGAATCTTTTTCTTCTCCCCATGGCGGGGCAGAAGAAGTGGATTCATACATATATAGCAAGACAGACCCGGGTCTATAACCGTGGATAGCAACTGTTCTAAAGAAATGGAAACCTAGGACGGGAAAAAAAACCGGCCTCGTCAGTCATGTATCGAAAGATACATGATCGCCGAAGCGAGTATCACGCATGTCACATAACTGACCGACGACCATATAAAATAATATTGACACAAGGGACGAATCAAGTACAAACAATGACGCCACATTGACATCTTGGCGCAGATTTACAAACATCATGTGCCTTAGTTGGCATATTTCATATTTAACACATCGTTTCCTCTATATTCCATCGTTCAGGCTATAAATGAAAATGCTTTATTTATAATTTCGGTAAATAACAATAAAAAAACCCATGTCAATGTTATTATTTTATTAGATATTTAGTTTCTCGTACAAATCAACCATGACCCATAAATATGTCCCATGGTAGTATACATGAAATGCCAGTGACATAGTGCGACTATTTTCAATCTTTAATTAGATTGGCTAACATCAAATATAAATCATCTTACTATATATATATATATATATATATATATATATATATATATATATGTGTGTGTGTGTGTGTGTGTGTGTGTGTGTGTGTGTGTGTGTGTCTGTGCATCTTTATTTATATATTTTGGTAGCATGTTTTCATTGGGACATGTTTCATTGAAGAATTTCGATTTAGACAAGATTTGTCTACTTATTTCCAATTGGATCCTTTCTTATCCATAGCTGGAAGAAAAGAAATGGATCCATACATTTCCCAAGGATAGATTTGCAGAAGTTGTTATGGTCCGGTTCTTTGTACCACGGTGATAGTCCAAGGTAGAACCAATAAAGAAGTAATCGAACACGGATATGTAATAACACAGATATATTACAAACGGGAATATATACAAAGAAGTAGACAGTGTTAGTACGAACAATCAGGTTTAGTAAAGAGAACGATGTAGTCTCGATCAGTATCACTATTCCAATGTCTTGTAGTAATTGTCTGAACGCGACTCTATTCGGACTGCCTCTGACGGACCTCACTCCAGACTTCAGACTGAACAGTATTTAGTCACCCCACCTCCACGAGGGCATCATATGGTACAAGACCGGTTTAACGTGGTATCTCCGAGCCCGTGGGCTCGGATAAAAATATGCCGTTTGAAGCTGTATAAACGGGTTCAGGGTCGGTTTACCTCCTCGAAAGATACTCTACCCTTCGGCGTAGCATCGTTCGGGTTCCTCCTCGCCCGAAGGCAGAGTGTTCAACCGATCAGCCGGGTAGCTGGTTGCCCGACTTCAGACTGAACAGTATATAAGTCACCCACCCACGAGGGCACCATATGGCACAAGGCTAGTTTAACGTGGGATCTCCCAGCCCGTGGGCTCGGCCAAAAATATGCCCTTTGAACCCGTATAAACGGGTTCAGGGTCAGTTTACCTCCCCGAAAGAGACTCCGCCCTTCGGCGTAGCCTCGTTCGGATTCCTCCCCGCCCGATGGCAAGAGTTCAACCGATCAGCCGGTCGCCCGACTTCGTACTAAACTCTCTGCTTCCTCTTGAGGCGCAGTATTTGTTTCGTATGGAATAGTCTATTATGTTATTATATGTAAGGTCCCATAACAGAAGTTAATCCCTATTACTTGCGAGAGTAGATTGAAACCTTCATAGGCTGACTATGAAGGAGTGATGCTAGATCATCGAAATATTGCATGCATTCACTCCAACTCTTCTTATTAATAACTGTATTGTTTCTTTCCGGATAAATCGACATCTTTTGAAAATGGACAACATTTAGCACTATTGTATTATGAAGAACTTACAAAAAAATGGTTAAACCCCAAGGACATTCATGCTGACTTGTTTGCTATATTGGGGACGACGCTCTAGCTTTATAAACAGTACAAAAGCTGACAGCTGAATTGAAGAGACTTGAAGATGACCCAAGGTTTGTACATCCTGTATCTGCCACCGCCGAGGAAAACATTGTGTTCCTCACACGGTGATGGTTGATAATCGAGTGATTATGACTCAAATAGCCAATGCTATATTCTACCCAATGATATGATAAAGATTTCTGCTCGGTAGGTGCCACGTCTTCAGGCACTCGATCAAATGCGCACGAGGCTGATCGTATCACGTGGAATTCTACACTTTTTTAGGCAGATCCAGCTGGTTTCCTTGGACGTTTCGTAACCCAAGATGAGTGTTGGTTTCATCACTTACACCGAAAAACAAACAATCAATCCATAAAATAGAAATATCCCTCTTCGTCTGCTGTAGGGATTAAATAATGAGTTAAATTCCAAATTACCTGATCAAGGTCGGATGGTACAATGACCGAAACGTTTTGATAATACCAAAAAAGACGAAGACATTAGTCTGTAATTAAATAATTTAAGTACGGATACGTCCTTATTAAACAAATTCAGAAATACACTTTTAATGCGTTTGACAATATATGTCTAAAACCTTTAGGAAGATAGCCATAAGGGTATTGCAGCAGCACAATTTATATATATATATATATATATATATATATATATATATATATCATTAATATTGCTGATTGATTCTATGCGTGATTATTTCTTTGTATATCAATTATATGCTGCCTCATGTTATATATATATATATATATATATATATATAGTTTTGGCACTTGAAATTAAGTATGATTCGAAATCCAAACTTTTCTCTAAAGATATAGAATATCAGCAAGTGAGAAGTGAGAAGTCAACAGCCATGAATCAGGAAACAGATTGAGGTCTGCGTTCACACGAACACAAGGTATGCGATCATACGGTTATCGGGAGCATTACATTCGCCTCAATCTGTCAAGATTTACTTGAATAAGAAATCAGAGAAAATGAACGTGCGATGAAAATGTTGAGTCATTTTTTTTTAATCGGAGCACCCGGCTTTAAAACAGATATTTCAAATCCTCGCCCGGACCTGTATTCAGACACTAAATCCTAGGAAAAGGCAGGAAATACTCAGCTATCACGTGTAATAAACAATCCAAACGTCGAATTCCATTATCACACTAACGTACACAACCGGAGCTTGAACTATAACTAGACCCTTCCCCACAGTTCGTCATCTGCATTTGTCAGAGAAATGTGCTTACAAAAATCAATATTTCCATTGCTTCGAAATAAAAGACAATTATTCTGCAAAATCTTTTTTTTTCTGAATAGAGAATGCTATATAAATTTAATTAAAATCGGAAAAGTATTAATAAATATATTTTAAAAGATTATATCACTGGAAATTATTTAAAAATATATACATAGTGTTTATCGATTTTGAAGCCACTGATTGCTTTGTTCTCGTTTTCAATAAAATTATTCTGTGTGTGCAAGATGAAATGTTTAAATTTCTGCCAATATTTTAAAGACATATACTGTCACTTCCATAGATCCATTTACCGGAATATATTTATTGAATTTTAAGAGCGGATTATTATTGAAAACTCGACCCAAAACTTTTATCGTCGCATTTCTTGATTTCTTCTATTTTCGTTAATATGCATCTCACCCAAGATCATTTCAGAATGGACTTGCAATCAGTTTTATTACTAACTAATATAGAATTTGATGTACATTTTAACAATTCTTTAATTTTTTATCCGTTTAATATCAAATACAAATCAGGCTTTATGTAGTGTCCATGTTTTGAAAGACACAATTGACACACGGTATTTCTGAGCAAATGCGGAGACAGGACCAGACAAAATGTAAGAAGAATATGGCGAAGATCAGTTCGAATTAGGAGGAACATTTTAAACAAATATAAATTCTATTTGTTAGTGGTTATTCTGTTGAGCGATGTAAAACTAGAATGGACATAAATGCTGTTTTTTTTTTATTCTGAGGAAGACTGAGACAAAGATGCAGACAAAGATGGCATCGAAGAAATCATGGCGTCCATTGTTGAGAAGGACAGAAGTAAAGCAAGAAATAAAAGGAAGTTAAAATATTCGCTGATAATTTTTAAAAAAATAGCTTGATTAATGATTTAACGTATTTTAGGCTTACCGTTTACCTGGAATTTGATTATGTTTTTTCTTATATTTTAGTTGTATTGCGTTGCACAATATAAGGCTTATCTTTCTAGTTTTAACATTAATTTGGAATAATATAATTTTGTTTTAATATCCTGGTAGTATTAGTACCATCTAGTACCGATGTATTAGTATTTGGTTGGAATTCTGACATTTGACATCGATTGGTTACTGTTATTACATATTTTATGAAGATTGTTGCATATTAATTTACCAAACAATTCCATATGATTAAATTATTTACTGGTTTCTTAAAGAAGCTATTTATTTATCAACCATAAAAAATATGTAAGAAATTCACAAAACCTATTATTTTTTAATATTTTGTTAAATTACCTCACCACCCCTTTTTTATTTCTTAGGAAACGGCATTGTGTAGCCTGTATAATTTATGTAACCATTTACATCCGCTTCAGTTAGCTGACAATTTACGTGTCATGACCCATTTTATAAAATAATTATGTAATTTTTCTTCTATCCCTTAGTTTCAATTTAACGTAGATCATATTTGATTGGTTGATAAACTCTATAAACTTTATAACCCCACTTTATTCTTTTTTCGTATAAAGAGTTTGTATATTGCTTTTAAACAAATGTCGTATATATATATATATATTAGGCCATCTTTTGGATGATTAGCCTTAATAATAATAATAATAATAATTATAATATATATATATATATATATATATATATATATATATATATATATATATATATGTGTGGCTACTAGGGCGTCTAGCCAATCCCTATTGCAGACGCTTGCTCAGGTGCATTTGTATTTATTCAACACCAACAGACCCACCTATGCTGAGCAGACATTAGTTCCAGTTTTGGGGAGAGAGCGTGTTATGAAGCGTGATCAACAATTTGAATAAGGCCAACACGCTCAGGCCCTCAGCCACGATGACTTGGGACTTCGTGCTAGCACAGCCATCGACGGTCCCTAAGGGTTCCGGCTACTCACTTTGATTCACAAGGATTGGATAAACTCGTGGTATGGTTTTCAGGAATTTTCCAAAGGTGCCGTACACTGGGATCGACTCCTCCAGTCCGATAACTTCAGGAAGTCTCCATGGTGAGATTCGAACCCGAGTCTCATGGTTAGAACATTCTAATCACTTTACCACGTGCCCATAAATTATAAATATAATAATACTGAAAAAAAAAAATAAGACAAAGATAGTTCTAT